AAAAAAAAATTAAATAAATAAAATTCAATGAAACCATACAAAACAAAATAAAAAAAAAACATAATTAAAGCAAAATAAGATAAACCTCTTTATAATATTAACCTTTGCGCTATATATCTTTGTAACCAGGAATATTATATACCTTGTGTATACATACATACATATAAAGGACAAATGCTATAATCCATATTATATTTCCAAGAGATGCACATTCCCCATTTTTGCTCTCTTTGATGACTTCCTGACTTTACTGCCGCCACTTTAGTGCTTCAACGCTGCCAGAGCTTTGGCTTCGCTGACACTTTTCATATTTGTGATACTCAAATGAATGACAGCAATTTTTTTCTTCGGTTGTAGTTAATCCGTTAAATCGTCTGCAATGAATTACCAACAATAACGCAGTCGATCAGTCAAGTAGTCACAGGCGCACTTAATAGCTAAGTAAGTGAAAAGGAATTATATTTTCGCATTGTTCAAATGTATGGGTGTAGTGAAGTATGAAAAAAGAGCTCATCACTTTGAACCCTATCCTTTCTTTATATTGTAGCTACATACTTACGCATGGTCAATGTCATGGCCATACACTAATCCGGCCACACAGTGAGTGTGTCCTGCTGTCATAAGTAAGCAGACAGATGACAAACAGTAATTGCTTCATACTAAGTAAATAAATATAAATACAAACATATAAAAAAACATAATTACACATACATACATATGTATATAAAATATAGTATGAGCTTTTCTTTCATATTCATTTATGTCTAACTGTTTTGTAAATAAATATTTTCCACTTCATTCCACATGTCCTTTGGTCGTGTACTCTGTGTAATCATCGGTAATAATAAGCGTCATAGTGTCGTGTATGTATGTTTGTGGCATTGTGTAATTTTCCCCAAAGACAAGCTCATTTCGCACGTATTCTGACATCAATCAGCGCTGCCAAAGACATTTTATTTTCATACTATTTTTTTCCAAAGCTCTTGTTAAACATACATACATACATATGTATGTATTGCGCAGGGAAGAAGGCATACATAATATAATTTATAATTATTTTACTGAAGCCTACATATTCGTGCTTGCAAATGTGACACCCTGTCGCCTTACTAACACTCACAGCATGTGACAATGTGTGGTAATTAATATTTTCGCAGGACTGTCATCTTTTTGATTGCTGGAACTGAGGGGAATCCAGGATTGGCAAGGACACAACGCGAAGCCCTTGAAACGTTTAAGGTAATTAAATGTAATGAATATTTTTGATAAATTAGTTGCTCGAAATATCGTTTCATTTCACTCAGGGGTGGAAAGTATTGTACTGAGAACATTTTGGATTAAAATGTTTCAATCAATGGGAATGGTGACACACGGCTGTGGAGAATTGATCGCTTTTTTTTTTCTCTCTGGGTGTTTTTAAATAGCAGCTCTGGAACCAGAGTTTCTTCTACCTTCTAAGTTTAGACTAGTTAGGTTAGGTTATACTGGCCGGCTGATAAGCTTTACCCTTTCCTCCGTTTTATAGTGATCTTAAGTAGCTGTTAATTGGCGACCACGGTAGCCGAGTGGTTAGCATTGCGTACTGCCATTCGAAAGGCTCGGGTTCACATCCCCGTGGGACCAACATTCAAAAGTTATAGAAAATAATTCAAATGAAAAAAAAGCTAAATTTTCTAATTGCGGTCGCCGCTCGGCAGGGAGCGTCAAACCCTCCGAGTGTATTTCTGACATGAAATAAAGCTCCGCATAAAAATAACCACCAGCCGTTTGGGGGCGGCTTGGTATAAATTGTAGGTCTCTCCATTTGTTGGAAAGACATCAAGACGCAAAAACCACAAATTGGAGGAGGAGCTCGTCGGAAAAGCGCTTCAGTGGTTAAAAAGCACCTTATAGGACGTTATCGCTTTTCGCGAAGTTCAAGAGAACCTTAACATTCAGTTTTGAGTTATCTATGACGAGTCCTAGCTAAGGTCGGATGTAAACCAATGAGATGTTCTAACGCCTCTTCCCTGCACTATATGCACATTTGGCTGCTACTTATACCCATTATGTTAGCATTGAAGGCCAGTAATTTTTGACCCATTAGTAGGCAAACAAGAGTTGTAGATCTTTACGTGGACATGTAAACAAGAAATAAGTGTTTCCTCTGCTGCTTTTATAAATGATTTCGTGTGTTCTGCAGGTCGCCAATACATTCCATATCACCTTTATCTGGGACTCAGCTCTTTCGGAAATTTCATTATCTTTCGTGATTAGCTACTTTTGTATTTCTTGCCCATAATGACTTTTTGGCGTGGAATTCAATGATTGAAACGCAGCCTTTTTTCCTTCGGCCGCCCTTTTTACTACTTGCCTGCTTCTTAAGGCCTTTTTGATGCAATACCATGTGAGAATATAGTATTAATTGCCACCTGGCTATCGACATAAATATTGAAATTTTAATATATATAATAATTGCTTTACTTGCTTTCTCAGCAGTTTTCTCTATAGCAATCTGGAAGCTTGACGGGTTGGCCATCATCCGTTTTTAACCCATCTGTGTGTATATTATTCGTTTGATCTTGTTGATGGATAATGAATTAGTTGCTCGATGGCAATAAAGCGGCAAATAAGGTAGCCGCAGTAGCAGTGCGTACTACCATCTGTAAGGGTAGGAATCGAGTCCTGGTCCGTTCAATATCCAAAAATTATAGAAAATTCGTTTTCTATTTGTGGTTGCCCTCGGCAGGGAGATTCGAGACCTTCGTGTATATTTCTGAAATCAAAGCTCATCATATAAATTCGTTGGTCTCTTTGAAGTGGCTTAGAGTAATCTGTAGGTCTTTCCGTTTGTAGGAAAAAAATCAAAACCTGGCCAGACCAAGACTCAAATTATAGAATATTAATTCTTATTCCTCACCGTTTATTCGCGAAATTTTTTCATTAGTTGGTATCATTGGCATGGCAATGAAATTTGAGAGAAAAGCTTTAAAGATCGCTTGGCTCATAAATATGTTTCGCTTTCGGTGCAAGTCACGCTGAAGTGATTCTATTCAAATCAAATTCGAAAGATGTGGAGTAGTTAGGCAACCTGAAAATTCTTCTGATCTTCAGCTGGGAAGATACTAAAAAAGAATACATTTTCTTATGGCCTTTTTTTAAGAGTGGTTTTCAATGAGGCAATACTTTTTTTTGAGTTTTTCATGAGACCATATACTCAGTTCAGCACGTCGCATGTTCGGAGAATGGGCCTGTTGGATCACAATTGCGAACCACTGTGTGCGAACAATCGTGAGAGGCACTGTAGATTAGCGGATAACTAGATAATACTTAACTAAGATAATCAATTCTCACTTTCGAACATATTCACACATCTAAGTACTTGTACTCTCTCTTACTTTTGTTACAATTCATGCTTGTACGTAATTGGAATTACCGAAATAAAATTATTATACTATTGTCGCTCNTATTATACGAATACACACCCCCACAAAATTATTGTTAATTAATGTCATTAAGAAAAAGCTCTTGACAAAACATTTTGGCGCCCAACGTGGGGCTAGTGTATATTCGCGAAAATTGATTATTAATAATTCGGAAAAATTCTGTAGTATTCTACAAAAATAAAACACACAAATTCGGTCAAAAATTTAATACATAGAATTAATATAAAGCAACAACAATCAACTCAAGCAAACACAGGTACATTGGATTTCAAAGGTCATATTCGGAAATATATGGTAACGGAATTATTATGGTACATTGTCTGGTATATAAACTCATCACTTGCTGAGCTGCTCAGGCTAGCTAACGTCGAATTCTTTGCTGCTGATTCTCTTCCGCTACTGTTCGTTATCGTTGCTCATCTGCATTCGTTGAGAGCATAAGTCACCGTTGCACTCTGCTGCTACTATTTCGCTGCCCTCGCTTAACTTTCGCTGACCACACATCTTCGTATTATGTCGCCTATATTGTTGTTTTCTTCGCTGCCGTCGTTTGCGTCATTGATCGACTACCGGCACTTATCGCAAGGCACTTTACATTTCGCTAAATCAGCATCAAACTAAGCAGAGCATACATACCCACCAAAAAGAACAATGTCGCTAGAGGAATGGAAGCAAACGCTCCAACATCAAGCGAAATATTTCGCGCATCAAATCCATTGTTGAAGCAGCTAACGAATCAGATCAAAAGCTCTCCAATGCAGAATTACAGTGTCGTCTAGGAATTCTCGAGTCATACTTTAAACAGGCTTTATCCGTTCAAGCTGACATTGAAGACTTAGACCCCGTTAACAATGGGCGCGCAGATCTGGAAGAAAGTTACGTCGCCGTGAAAATCAGCATCCAAGTCCAGCTAGTAGAAGATGCAAACAGCACTGTGCACTACCCCGAAGCTGCCGCAGCAGCAACAGTTACCACATCGTCCCATCTACCTCGATTGTCGCTGCCAACATTTAGCGGTGATTATGCAGATTATAAGAACTTCATTACATCGTTTACCCAACTCATAGCTCGAGAGCCCAGGCTTGCAAATATTGAAAAATTTAATTATCTTTTGTCCTGCTTGAAAGGGCCAGCACTAGAAACTGTCAAGGCATTTCAAGTTACAAGCGAGAATTACCCAAAGGCGTTAGATAGATTAAAGGAACGTTTCGATAACCCAACCCTTATATTCCTAGAAGGTATTGCGTCGCTGTTTACTCTTGAATCTGTTGAAAGGTCAAACCCTCAAAAATTGCGCAGTCTAGTCGATAACGCTTCAGCCATTTTCAGCTCATTACAGTCATTGGGTACAAGTACCAACATCGCTCAAGCAATGCTTATATATGTGGTCATAAGCAAATGCGATCAGCAAGCACGTAAAAAATGGAACGAGTCCCTGGATTATAAAACGCTTCCAACTTGGGCCGACTGCACTAAGGTATTAGAAAGATACTGCCAGTTTCTACATTCATCAGAATCATCAGAGAAGCGCAAACTCGAGTTTACGAAACCTATGCGCTCAAACAATCGCAAACAACAATCGTCCTTTGCAGTAACAAATTCGAATTGTATACTATGCTCCAGCTCCAATCATAAGCTTACGGCTTGCCCTCAGTTTAGAGAAAAAAGTACCAATCAACGGTTTGAAATTTCTAAAAAGTACGACTTATGCATCAATTGTCTGAGTAATGGTCACAGAATGGCCCAGTGTCCTTCGAAGCATCGGTGCCGTACCTGTAATCGGCCACATCACTCCTTACTACATCACGACACCAACTCACAAGGCACGATAACCTCTCAGACGACAACTACAACCCCTGATTCAGCACTTTCTTCCCAGACACCAATTACTTCCTCTAACACCTCCCAAGCCGCTACACATTCACACATTGATGCCTCTGATTGTGGACAAGTTATTTTGGCTACAGCTATGGTGCTGGTGAAGGATTGTACAGGTGCTTACAAACTTGGAAGAGCGTTACTTGACTCCTGTTCCCAGGTCAACTTCATCACTGACGACTTTGCTCAAAAACTTCGTCTTCGTCGAGAAAAGCATCACGTTGGTATTCGTAGTATCAGTGAGTCACTCACAAACCTCAAATCTCGGACCAGCACAACGATCAAGTCTCGCAATTCAGGTTTTCAGCTTTCGCTTCAGTTTGGAATTACGTCACATATTGCGTACCAACCTGACACCGAAATCGATACGTCTGCTTGGAATTTGCCAGTTAACACCACATTGGCCGATGAAACCTTCTTCAAACCACGTCGAATCGATTTGCTGCTCGGGACAGAGGCGTTCTTCGAAGAGCTCGCTGTTGGCCAAATACGCCTTGGTCCAAATCTACCAACCCTTCAGAAGACATTGTTCGGTTGGGTTGTCTCTGGTAGATACCGTGGTCAGCATGATGTGGCAACATCGGCTTGTTTGATGTCTAGTGACAGCACCATCAACGAGAGCCTACAACATCTATGGAAACTAGAAACCATAAACGCTCCATCAAACTCAATTCTTCCTGATCATCGTATTTGTGAAGATCACTTCATAAAAACAACATTTCAGGATGCTAAGGGTCGTGTGATTGTCAGTTTACCATTCAAGGAAAATCCCATTTGCCTTGGAGATTCCTTCGATATCGCTCGTCGACGATTTCTCGCACTCGAGAAACGACTCCTACACTCGCCCGAAATTCGTCCCCAATACATCTCATTCATGGAGGAGTACGAAAATCTTGGCCACATCTCCGTTGTAGCACAACCAAACTTGAATGAGCCGCATTACTATATACCTCATCATTGCGTATTCAAACCCAGCAGCACATCAACCAAGCTGAGAGCCGTTTTTGACGCATCATGTCGCACATCCTCACAAACATCATTAAATGATATTCTGTTGGTTGGCCCTACTATCCAACAAGATTTATATATGCTTTTACTTCGCTTTCGCTTATATCGTTTCGCCCTCACTGCAGACGTCACCAAGATGTACAGGCAAGTACTCATGAATAACAATGATTGCAAATACCAATACATTCTCTGGAGAGCTTCTCCTGACCTAGATCTCCAGACATATCAGCTTAACACGGTCACTTACGGCACTGCTTCAGCACCATACCTCGCTGTACGTAGTCTTCATTATTTGGCAGATCAAAGCATGGATGAGCTTCCGATTGGCGCTTCAGCAGTAAAGACCTCATTTTACGTTGATGACTTTATATGTGGTGCAGATGATGTTGACGCTTTGCATATACTCAAATCCGAAGTCATCGAAGTACTTCGACGCGGACAATTTCCATTATCAAAACGGCACTCAAACCACCCAGAGTTCATGGAAAATCAATCAGTAAAGAACCTCAACATTTGTGATGAATTCATAACCAGTACGTTAGGGGTAACGTGGCATCAACGTTCTGACAATTTTTTATTCTCATTCCAGTCGAAAAAAGAACACAATATGGCTACAAAGAGGACAATATTGTCAATCGCCTCATCCCTCTTTGATCCACTTGGTTTGTTATCACCACTGCTAATAACAACCAAAATTATCTTGCAAGAACTTTGGCTATTAAAGCTCGACTGGGATGAGTCCGTACCTCAACACATACATCAAGCTTGGACCAACTGCTTAGCAACCTTGAAATCGGTCTCGTCACTCACCGTACCTCGCTATTGCTTGCAACCTGATACACACAATATACAAATTCATGGATTTTGCGATTCATCAATACGCGCCTACGGTTGTTCCGTTTATGTTCGTACGCAGAACTCGCATGGTCAAGTCGACGTACACTTACTAACATCAAAGTCCAGAGTCGCACCAGTAAAGAAGCAATCCCTTCCCAAACTTGAACTTTGCGGTGCTCATCTTCTCGCTTGTCTCTATGCTAAAATAAAAGACATATTCGCGACCGGATCAGTTACCACTTACTTTTGGACCGACTCACAACTAGTCTTGCATTGGCTTCAACAACACTCGATTACGCTATCAACATTTGTCGGAAATAGAGTATCGGAGATACAAGCGCTTACAGTAGGTGCGCATTGGAAGCATGTACCAACGAAAGACAACCCAGCGGACCTGGTCTCCCGGGGTTGTTCTACGAAAGACCTGATTTCGTCCAATTGGTTTACCGGTCCAGTCTTTTTGCTACAAGAGGAGAACAAATGGCCGAAGAGCAAGGCTCCAATTGATCTTAACAATGACGTAATCAATGCTGAGAAACGCAAAACGGCCTTAACAATCATCAAGGACACAAACTATGTTCTCGATATCACAAATAGGAGCAGTTCATACACCCAGTGCTTACGTTTCGTTGCATGGTTATTTCGTTTCTGCTGCTGGTGCAGAAAGAAATCCACACCCATTACTGTTTTCTCACCCGACGAACTGCGACGCGCACTATATTGTGTCATTTGGAATTTACAGCAACAGCACTTTTCTCTCGATTTTCAATTACTCAAAAAAAATTAATCAGTAAAAGGCAATTTAAAACACCTAACTCCATTCATAGATAAGACTACCGGATTCGAACTCATCAAAGTTGGAGGTCGCTTAGGCTACGCAGATATGCCAGACGCTCAAAAACATCCCATTTTACTGCCTAGCACTTCGCAATTTGTACTCAATTACGTTCGATATCTACATAGACGGAATTATCACGCTGGTCCTAAAGCATTGGTTGCCCTGATCCGACTGGAATATTGGATTGTCAACGCCAGAGATTTGACACGTCGTGTTGTTCGGTCTTGCGTACATTGCGTACGATATAAACCAGTCCTGGCTCAACAAGTCATGGGACCACTTCCGGCCACCCGTATCACTCCCGCTCGCCCATTTGAGCGCTGTGGAGTAGACTTCTGCGGACCAATAAATACTTACTTGCGGATTCGAGGTAGAGCTCCTACAAAATCCTACTTGGCTGTGTTTGTTTGCCTTGTCACCAAGGCAGTACATATTGAGGTTGTGTCTGATCTCTCAACGCATTCACTCTCAAATGCTCTAAAGCGTATGGGTGGTCGCAGAAAACTCCCTTGTGACATCTTTTGCGACAACGCTACAAATTTTGTTGGAGCGTCGAACCAATTGAAAGAACTAAAACAATATATTTTCAAAGCTAATACTCAGGAAGAAATATATAAATTTTGTTCATCTGAATTTATTAACTTTCACTTTATTCCCCCCAGGGCTCCTCACTTTGGCGGCCTCTGGGAAGCTGCAGTCAAAAGCGCAAAAGGACTATTGAATCGAACATTAGCGAATACAAGATTGACATTCGAAGAGCTTAGTACTGTTGCCGTCGAAGTGGAAGCTATCCTCAACTCGCGACCACTTAGCCCCATGTCATCAGATCCGAATGACTTCGATGCACTCACTCCCGCACACTTTTTGGTTGGCTCTTCTCTACGCGCTTTACCCGAACGCTCATTCGAAGACAGAAATATGTCAAACACAGATCGGTACGATATGATCACTGCCATCCAACAACGCATTTGGCGCCGATGGCAGGCAGAGTACGTTAACGAACTACGCTCACGTGTTAAGTGGACAACTCCTGCCCTTGATATCAAAGAAGGGACACTTGTCATAATACACGACGATAATTTGCCACCACAACGTTGGAAGTTTGGCCGTGTAGAGTCCACCGTACCCGGACGAGATGGTCATGTGCGAGTTGTGCACCTCCGCACAGCCAATGGTACTTGCTGCCGCCCTATTCATAAGATTGCCGTCCTGCCAGTATCTTGAAAGCGGATACTTTCAACGGGGCCGGGATGTTGGATCACAATTGCGAACCACTGTGTGCGAACAATCGTGAGAGGCACTGTAGATTAGCGGATAACTAGATAATACTTAACTAAGATAATCAATTCTCACTTTCGAACATATTCACACATCTAAGTACTTGTACTCTCTCTTACTTTTGTTACAATTCATGCTTGTACGTAATTGGAATTACCGAAATAAAATTATTATACTATTGTCGCTCAACCAAAGCGTATCAGGTCTTGCTTTTATAACAGTGCGTAATAATAATAACACGAATACACACCCCCACGAAAATCTTGTAAATTAATTAGATTAAGAAAAAGCTCTTGACAAAACAGGGCCCAAAGCTCTACATAAAAATCCATTAGCCGTTGGAGTCGGTTTAGAAAGCAGGTCCCTCCATTTGTTGGAAAAAATATAAATCACAAATTTTAGGTAGAGCTCGGTTGAAAGTGGTTAACCGTCGATTATAAATATTTATAAGAGTCAACAAAAACATTCTCAAGTTTACATTAAAGTATCGTTGTCCTCTTTCGATTTCAAGTGCAATTAACAGAAGATGTTCTGAGTTCGTCAGCATTCTTAGTTTTGGAAATGACAATCTTAGGTTTTTGACGCGTTTTAATACCAGAACAGGGTACGATAACCCTGGGCTACCACTTTAATGATTTTTGCCCCAGCTGTAGGGACGAAGAAGAGGAGAAGTGTATTGAACACTACCTCTGTCACTGTCAAGCCTTAACATCCCCCGCGAAACACTTCTTCGACTATCTCGCTGTGGTAGCCTCAGCGTAAATCTGGTTGCCTCTATAAGTTTCACGAAAATCAATCATTTGAGAAGATATAGACAACAGCTTCACAGCGGCCTAAGTGCGCTGGTAATGAATGACCAGCTCATGTAGCAATTCAACTCAAATCTTGGTTATTATTTCATTGACAAAGCATTTTAACGAAGATACGATGAAGCTCGATCTGGTGAGTAAATTCAACTCACAAATGGTAAAAAATGTAAACACTGACGTGCGCCTCAGTTTCACGGTATTGGAGACTGAATGACGAATATGGTCCAGTGAAATAGAATAGGACTTTATTAACTCTTTCGCAATGTTGGCAGAAATACTTTCAAAGTTGCTTAGCTGTGTGTTTGGTTTCTTTTTAATTTTTACATAAACTATTACCGCGTGTACTAAAATCACTAGTTGAGGCTGTGTAAAGGGTCTTCAGCATTTATTTTTTTTTCGATAAAATGAAAATTTCAAACGCTTGACCTTCAATTCTTTCCGCGTATTTCTAGCTTGTCAGCGTAAGGATATGCAATATATATTTTTTCCGCTTTTTTTTACCACCCACAACAGTTTTGAGTGAAAATAGCTTAATGGCTTAACAGTTCAACCAATTTCCTGCCTACCATTTGCTTATGCTTATAGAAATGGGTGTACATTTTTTCTTTATAATGAACGCACCCCGAATGCATATACATACATATATTTACCTACCATGCATGTCCTTAGGTATCAGCAAATCGTACAAATTTATGTCTGAAAAGCGCGTTAACGTCAAATGAAATGAAATCCGCTTTAGAAAAATCACATAAAAGTGCAAATTCGTGTTTTCCTGCATACAAATCCGCCATATAAAGCTAAAAGCCTGTCAAAAAGGGACAAAAATCAATTGCAAAAACACACAAACTGGCAGAAGCACATATGTGAATGGTGCATACACGTAAAAAAAAAAATTTTTGACTGAGCCAACAAAGAAGGTAAAAAAAGAAAAAAAAGACGCGAATGCTGTGTAGAAAAAATTTGGCAAAGAAAGTAAAAAGTGAAGCTTAAGTATTTATATGAACGGAAACACAACCTACTAGAAAATGTGGGAAAGTCTTAACTTCTGGAAGTGAATAAGTAATAAATAAAAAAGAATTAAACCCTAAGTTACTCAAGAAAAAAAAAAACAAATAAATAATAAAAATTTTCGTATTTAGTTTTTGTTAGTTACGGCAGAAGTTTTGATCTCTTCGCTCAGTAGTGTTTGAGCGAATGTCAAAGATGGACACCAGCAAAGAGAAAATCCATTATAATCTATAATTTCTCTTCGATAAAAGCGAAAACGCAACTCAGGCAGTTGTTTGCATTGCTCAGGAGATAAATATAGCTAATATTGCGCAGAGAACCACTTGAAAAGGCTCGATATGCAAAGAAGCTCGATTTCTGAGTGCCACATGAACTAGCGAGAAAAGAAGCCATCGACCGAATTTACATCCGAGAACCGCTTTTGCATCGTAACAAAATCGACCCAATTTCTGAAGCCGATGGTGACCAGTAGTGCAAAGTGGATCTACAACGTAAAATGAAAATGATTGTAATAGAAGAGCAGTGAGCCGGCACAAACAATCTCCAAACCAGAATTGACGGCTAGAAAGGTTTTATTGTGTTTTTGGTGAGATTAGCAAGGAATCATACACTGTGAGCTGCCCGCCAATGGTCAAACTCTTAGTTCGGACCTATACTGTCAGCAGTTGGACCAACCGAAGAGTTTAATCGCTCAGAAGTGCACAGCCTTGGTCAAAAGAAGAGGAATTATGTTTCAACGCCAGACCAAACGCATCGATAGTAAGTCGTTAGACACTCCGAGAACTTGGTTTGGAGGTTCTTATGTGTCCATCTTATACCCCATGCCTTCGCCTTATAGCCTTCGCACCAAGTGATTACCAACTGTTTCCAAATTTTCTGTTAATAAGTACAAAGGTTTCTAAGAGAGAGACATCATGACTTTACCTTACAATTGGCAGAGAGTTATCGAGCAGAATTTAATGCAAAAATAATGAATGACTTTTTAATTGACCCAGTATAAATATATGGCGGTCGCGGTAGTCGAGTGGTTAGCATAACGTATTGCCATTCGCTAGGCCTGAAATCAAATCCTGGTACGACAAACATCCAAAATTATAGAAAATTAATTTGAATAAAAAATTAAGTTAAATTTTCTAATTGCGGTCGCCCCTCGGCAGGGAATGAAATAGAGGATCCTCATAAAAAACCATCAACCTTTCGTAGGCGGCTTAGTATAAACTGTAGAACCTTTATTCGTTCGAAAAACATCAAGATGCAAAATCACAAATTGGAGGAGGAGTTCGGCCGAAAATACCTTCAGCGGTTACAAAGCGTCAAACTATATATATGTATATCATAAATGATACATTTTTCTAATAAAAAATGGTAAGAAATAATGATAAATGACATCCGCAAGTCGCTTAAAGCAAAATATTTATAAATATATATTATATAAAAAAATTCGCCGTAGACGAACTAGTATTCTCTAGCATGCGATAAAAAAGTAGGTACCTCAATTAACCGCCTACCTGGTAAGCGTAGTGGTTAGGTTGAAATAACCAATAGAAAAACACATGAATAGAATACTTTTCCAAAGTGTTGTTCTGAAACATTCGAAGGCCTTACATTTGCTATCACATCGCCGTGCCAATTTTCAGCGCTAAGTTTCCTCTCTAGCTCTTCGCTTCCAAATCCTTACCTTTTGCTGCTGGGATACCATTACATGTACTCATATATGCCAACATATGCATGTGTTTGAAATGAAGTTTCAGTTTGTATGGCATCCTTTATATGTTCTATCATTCACTATGGCCAACGTGTAGATTTGCGCAAGCGTTTAACGCTCAATCGAACAAATGGACAAAGGTGCGGGTTGGATGGCGCTCAGGTCCATAGTTCATAGTCGGTTGTGGATGCATTCAGCGAAATGTCTTTGAATGTAAAACGTTTGGCATGTCTTTATGCGCCGTGAACAATACTCCGAATGGAAACAGTGAAAAAAAATAGAGAAAAGTTAAAAATCACACAAATCACGCTCATTCAAAACACTATGCAAAGCTTTGAGAAAAAATACCAAACTCAGAATATTGTAGTAAATAAACATCACACTTGGCTAATTAATTACTTTTACGTACGCAGACACGTTGCTTACAATCAATTGCCAAACAATTACTGTCATTAAAAATTTACTAAAATGCAACCGACAAATGCAACTAAATTACATAATTGACGCTGAGCTAATAAATATAATATTATCAACAGAATTAATAATGTCATTGTGTATTTACATAAGAGTACATACATATTTTTCATAAACAAAGCGAGCTAGCTATCAGCGATATTATCTGCAACACTATAATTACAGTTATTGTCATTGTTGTTGCAGCGGGAAAAAAAAATATTATTATTATGTGACAGTCATTATCGCTATGATTACACCGTTAATCATCAACTAAACACACAAAACCGCTGAAACAGTAGAACAGTAGCACAGAAAATGGCAACTTACTCAACTCCAGCCAACAGCAGCAAGCAACAAGAACAACTTTGAGCTAGTGACAGCACAATGACAGCGTATAATAATTTACTTTCGTTTTTTTTACTTTTTGTTTTTTTTTTTGGTCTTTGCTTTCTGTTGCAAAACTGCAACGTCTCACTCGTACTTTTTGTCATTAGAATTTATCCAGTCCGGTTTGCGCTGACACTCTGATGACATTACCAGCAGAAAAGGTGTGGAAAAAAGTTTAGTAAAAATATCTAAAAAAAAACGCTATTAGCCAGTCGCATCATTGCCATTTATTAAGCGTATTTCTGCAACCTTTTTGTGAACCGTTGGCAACTCTGCTTCAATGTGCTCACTTTTACATTCTCTCTTCCTTACGGCTTGCGGCGAAAACAATTTAAATTATGCAAATTATTAATGAATTTTTCTCGCTCTCATCGGTTTATTGTCTTACCTTGTTTCTCATAAAGTGTTAATTTTTTCTGGCTCCTGAACTGTAGGTAATCATTGATTGAATGTCGGCGTTCGTGAGTGGCTCAAATGAGGTGTAAATACCACGTTCATGGCAAAAGTGTGTTGACAGCAAAGTCTATTTATAATAATAAGAGAAACATACTGCCATTGTGCCATCTTTTCCCTGAGATAAA